AAAGTGTATATTATCTAAATTAAGATTTTTATTTTAATTTTAATTATTAATATTATTAAATATTTCCTCAAAATTATTTATAATATTATTAATTTTAATATATGATTCTACTAATAGATTACATAGTAGTTTATGTTTTTTATTTTTATTGAAATACTCATAAATCTATTTTAATAAAGTTAATGGTATTATTTAAATATTCTCGTATAATAATTTTAAATAATCTATTTCTTCTTTTTCGTTATTAAAATAAGTTTTCTTTATTAAAGGTTATTCTATTTTATATATTAAAGGATCCATATCATCAAATAATAAACTAAATTTTTAATTTAATTCATTTTATTCTCTCTCTTTTAATAATGTTAACGAATAACACTTTATTTTTCTTTACAAATCATAATCTGTTATATAAATTTAATATGGAATTTTAAAAAAAGGTGTTTAGTCTACATTTTTTAAAGAAGTTTTTGAATAAATTAAAAATAAAAACTAAGTGAATTATATTATTTATTTTGAAAATTATTTTAATTCTCTTAATATTATAATTTCATCTTTTTAAACTGTTTCTAATTTTTTTTATTAAGTTTAAATATTCTTGTTATATTAAAAAATAAAATAAAAAAATAATAATAATTAATTATAAAGTTACATCTATTTATTAAAAATCTTATATTATTAATTATTTATTCGAAGTAGTATTAATTTATTCATTTTATTAAAAATAAAATTTTTCTATCATTCTTTATATAAACATTTAGATTAAACCTAATTTCTTTATAATTTCAATAGTTTATTACTCCTTTTTTTAAAGCTTTTTTTAACTATAAATTATATTTTCCTCATTTATAAATCCTTTCCTATATACTGGGCGTATAACTCTTCCAAAATAAGCCAATAACCCTTCTATTTTGCAAGTATATTTAGGTCTTACATGTTAAATAACGCCTCCCACTTAATTTTGAAAACTTTTATTTGGGAAAATAGTGAATGTATTTGGATTTTAAATAATTACATTATCTCCATACTATTTTTTATTTTTAACAATTAAATTATAATAAACTCAATATATATATATATATATATATATATATATATATAAATATATATATATATATATTTACTATTTCTATTAAAAAGTAAGCTTTTTCAAGAATTTATTGATTTCGTTGACATACAAACACTTTAATATTATGCTAATCATTATATTCTTCAAAAGAATTGCAAAATTATCTAAATTAGAAATCTATTTATTAGCTTATTTGCTATTTTGCTATTAATTATTAAAACCTTATAAGCATAATTGTTTTAAATAATAAAAGTATCCAAAGTACACTTATTTTTTTATTAAAAAATTAAATAATAATTATAATATATAAAAAAAAATATACATAATAAATCATTTATTCTTCACAAATAATTCCTGTTAAAATTTGAAAAGTTTCCGTATAACCGAAATTAAGGACAAAATTTTCAAAAAGTTTCAAAAAATTTTCAACTTCATTTTTTTTATTTATTGGTTATTATTACTATTATTATTATTATTATTATCTTATTTGCCTTTTATTTTTATTAATTTAAATTCTATAATCTTAGATTATATTATCGGAAAGACTTTAAAGAATTTAAAATAGCTAATCAACAGGTCTTTATTTAATAAAAAAAATTAAACCTTGGTTATTAAAAAGAACCAAATGTTAAGGAGGGGAAAAAAATTATTTACAAATATAATTCAAAGAATAATATGGAGAAAAAATATCTTTTTTTTCATAATTATCATCGAAAGAGTTCTTAAAATATATTTTTAAATAAAACAAAATAAAAATAAAACAAAATACTTAAAAATGATTTTCTTATATAAATTTTTCAGGGATAGTTTAAATCACAATTTAATTTTAAGTTTAAATATCTAAAACATAATTCTACTATTAATCTTCAAAATAACTCAAAACTTCACTCTCAATATTTTAAATTTTAACTTTATCTTTAAAAGAGAAAATATTATCTTTTAAAAATCCAAAAACTCTCTCATTACTTTAAATAAAAGCCAATTTTTATTAAAACTAAAATATACTTAAAAGTCCTCCTTAAAAAAAGAAAAAAGCATTATCCAATTCTTCATTAACTCCGACATTTTCTTTCAAAAATATTATCTAAAATCTTTCAAAATTATTATTTTTACTATCAAATTAAATTCCTAAAAAAAGCCTGACTCCATTTTTAAGTACAATAATTAAAGAAATATATTTACTTTCTTTTTTTTCAACTGCCTATATTCCCTAAATAGGTATTTATTAATATCTTTTGGGTAAAACTTTATCCAAATCACATTAAGATAAAGAAACAAGAAATTTCAATTATTAATTAGAAAATGAATAAACATCAATTATAGTTTATACAATTTTTTGTTAGAAAAAAAAAAAAAAATTACTTTTTTCTCCTTCTGAGAGGGCATAAAGAATTTCTTTTTCTTCGTCAATACTAATTTATTTAATTTCCTTTTTTTAATTAAAAAATTAAAAATCTTAAATTTCTTAATAAATATTAGAGAATAAATTCCATTTTTTAAAAATTTAAAATTCTTTTATTTTTCCTTTACTTCCCCCATAAAAAATACGGCTTTGTTTCTTTGAAAAAATTATATTTTCAACCCACTCGTGTTCTGTTTTTAAACTTAAATTTAAATCTATTATTATTATATTGAAAAATTCATCTATTAATATTTCATATATGCGAATATCTTATGGAAAACTTATTATTAATATATTTTTTATTTCCTTTTAACCTAATATTAATTTATCAGGCCTTCCATGTACTATTTATATTATTTATTAATTAAAATCAACCACTTCCATATCTTAAAACTATTAATCAGGCTGATTTGTATAATAATAGTTTTTCATTTAAATTGTTTAGTGTTTTTTTAAATTATCATATTTCCATATAAATAATTTTTATCCTATTGAAATCCATGCAAGATTAAGTTCTATTATTAAACCCTTTTTTTTGGTTTTTTTTGGTTTTTTTTTTTTTTTTTATAAACTTTTATTATGCTTTCAGATTAATTGAAATAATATTATTCTATTTATTCTGGAATAGAAACTCTTTTATAAGGAATAAAATTATTATTAATATGCTAGTAAAGATCTTTTAAATTTTTTTTTTTTTTTTTTTTTTTTTTTTTACTATTTTAGTTTATTTATTCTAAAAAAGAAAAGTTTTCATCTGTTTCAATAGTTTAGTCTATTATTTGTCTTAATTAGGGATTTATTATTTATTTTTATTCATATTTTTGCTCTTATTAGATTATTTATTCTAATTATTATGGATTATAAGTTTATATTTTTTAATCTATGGGTTGAGTAAGAATCGTTGTATTTGTTTAATTGATTTATTATTGATCTCTATTTTCTTAAAGTTGAAATCCTCTTAGAGGTGATGAATTTCGTTTTATTTAATTTGAAGTTCTAGATGAATCTAAATCATTTCTTTTACGTTTTTGAAGGGTTTAATAGAGTAAATTTGTACTATTATTTGGTTACATTTTTTTTTTTTAGGAAATAATAGAATTTTTATATTAAGTATTTTATTTTTTTAAAATTTATTTCTATTTAATTTTGAAATATTTTTTTTTTTTATTAAAACAAAAAATATATAATTTATTAATAAAAAAAATTGTTTATTTTTTTAAATATTTTCAACAAAAATCAAAGCTTTCTAAGCGAAAAAAATCAAATATATTATTTATAAATGTAATAATAATTCCAATATTATTATTTTTGTTTTATTCTTAAAAAACAAAAAAATATTATAAAATAATAAATTAAAAAATATAAAAATTATTATATGGATACCTTTTACATATATTTATTATATTTATTTGTTCTATTATTTTCAGGATTATTAGGTTATTATATTCTATAAAATATAATATTAGATGATTTTGATACAAAAAACAATAAAGCTGAATTTTTTTTCAGTTTAATGTTTTCATTATCATGTAGTGGCTTTATATTATTAATATTTGAAGCTTTATAAATTGGAGAAGTATAAACAAGATATAAATTTTGGTGTTTTACACTTTACATTTAAGTATATTCAAGTATTCTAGTAATTCCTTCGATTATAATATTAAAAACAGTATAAAACTCATTTAAAAATAAATTTTTGAAGATAAGTAAAAATCTAGATTTTTTATTTTAAAAATATAAAATAAAGTTTTAGGAGTATTGCTATATTATGGATTTTTAAGATTTATGTTAAATTTATTAATACTTTTGATAACTGAAAAATAAGAAAGTGATTAAAACTAATATAATATCAGTTAATTATAAGCACTATTTATTTATATAGCAAACTATTTTTCAATTAGTTTGCAAATAGAACTAATAAGTAAATTAATTTTATCTCATATTTTTAATTAAAATAAAATAAATAAAAATAAGCGATGATAGGGACTTATATTATTGCGATTTTATCAGGAATAGGAAGTGTTAATTACCCTTATAATTGTTTTAATTTTGTTTATTAAAAAAGTATAATTTTTTTTTTTTTCTTCTATTTTTAAATAGTTTTTAATAATATTATATTTATTATTTTTTTTAAGTAAGTGAAATAAATACGTAAAAAAATAATGCTTCATTAGCACTTGCCTAATTAATGGATATTATTGCCCTTAATAGACTTTAATTTTTTTAATATTAATAATAACTTAAATAGGAAAATTGTTATAAATATATTTTAAATAAAAATTTCTTTAAAAAATAATGGTTCCAAATGTAAAAAAAATAATCTAAAAATTAAATATTTTTTATTTTTTGCAAACAAAAATTAGTAAAAGCTATTTTAAACTTAAAAGTAAACTTGAATCTTTATTGGATGAAAAAAATAAAGAATTTATTGACTGTTAATTTTCTAAAGAATAACTTTATTATGGTGATTTTTATCTTTTTATATATATATATATGTATATTATTTCTGAAAAAAAAGAATTAATAATAAAGATTATATTGAAATCATATAAGAATAAAAAAGATTTTATATTTCTTAAACATTTAAAGGAAAAACATTTAAAGTTTCAAGTATAATTTGTGGGATTTATTGCATTTATAAAATTTTGATAGTATAAAATAAAAATTATTAAAAATAATATATTTATTAATTATTATAGAGCTCTTACAATTATATAGTCGGAAGAAAAAAATAACTGGATCCTATTAATAAATTATTAAAAAATATCTTACCTTTTATAGGAATAGTGGTACCTGAAAAATAATATGATATAGTAATAACTTATTTATCATTTAGCTTTTTAGGTAAATATTTAATTAATTAATTTTTATGTATAAATAAATAAAATTAAAAAGGTTATTTAATGATAACAAATGTAAGATCATTTTGTTTTCATTTAATAAATATGTTTTAATTTTTTATTGGGAGCATTTAATAAAATCATATATCAACAGATATTGTTGTTTATTGTTTAGCCGAAGTACTTGGAGTGTATTTTATTTCTACATTAATATTAATTTAAAATAGTGTTGATTAAAGATATTTGTATAGAAAATATTATTGATATATATAAATATAAATATAATTATATTAATATATATATATATTTTATATTTTATATTTATTTTATATATATTTATTTTAATTATAATAAATCTATAATAATTTACTGGAGACCTAGATATATTAAAGCATTATAAAGCTTTTGATTTAATTTTTATTGTAAGCTCCTTAATTTAGATAGTTATTTTAATTATCTATACAATAAGGAAAAAAAAATAACTTTAGAATATCAAATAAAATTTTTTGCACAAATAAGATTGAATAATATATATAAAAATAATTTTTTTTTTATTATTATTATTATCATTAATTAAAATATATATTATTTATTTTAAATTTTAACATATTAAAATAAAATAATATATTTTTATTTCAGTTAATTATTTTTTATTTATAAAATATTATTTAATATCTCTTTTTAAAAAAATTCAATTCAATAAAATAAATAAATATGTATTAATTTGGTAAATGTTTATACATAAACACAAATAGCAATATACAAAACCCATATAGAGATAATATATTTTAAACTTAAAATAATTTGCATGCAAATTAAAGCCCAGTAAATAAAATAAAATAACTAAATGAAAATTAAAAAAAGAAGCTTGATTAAAAATTAGATATTTAAAAAGTAAAACAAAATATTAAAATAAAATAAAATAAAATAAAATAAACATACAAAAGTTAAAAATAACAAAACAACCATAAATTAATAATATTTAAAAAGTAAATGAAAAAAGAATTATAGATATGAAAGACGAATAAATATTATGTTAAAATCAAACAATGAATTAATAATAATAAATTTGTAATTTCAACATAAATTAAGTAAATTAAACTTCCACACAAAACATAAAAAATTATTAATTTAATGATGAAAATAATCAAGAAAATAATTTTTAAAGTTATATTTAAGTATCTAATAATATCTAACTTGTCCCTAATACTATTAATATTAAAGATAATCTTTATATTTAAATCCCTGATAATAAAAAAAGTGAACATAATATTTATGAAATAGAAAAAGAATATAATTAATTAATGAGACAAAAAAGCAAAAATGAATTAATTAATGCAAGAATTATTCCTGCTCCAAAAATAACTCTTAATTATTAAAATGATCTTTCTATGTATTATACTGATAAATATAATATAATTTTATAATACAAAAAAAATAATATAGCAAGTAAAAATGTAAGTATTGAAGCTAATTAAGAGAATTCATTAGAAAAATATTAATAAAATCTAAAAAAAGATGTTTTATTATAAAATTAATAAAATAATTTTACTTTGTAAAATAGTTTAACGTATTTTTTTTTTAATATATATAAAATATATTTTATTTAAAAGAATTAATAATTATTATACTTAGAAAATTAGAAATGTTAATTAAAAATAAAGTTTAGGTAAAATTAATTTGAGTTTACCTTAAAAACCTATATTATAAAAAAAGTAATGTAGAAATATAAATTGAAATTTTTTTTATTAAATTAAAAAAAAACTAAAAAATTAAAGATAAGATATTTAGAATCAATAAAAAGAAAACAAAAATAGCTTTTATGGATCTAATCAAAAATAAAATAACCATTAGAAGTACTATTAAAATTTTTACTAAAATTATTTAAAATTAATTAAATAAAGTGAAAAGGATATTGATACAAATGATAAACTTTGTAAAAAAAGTATTTTTGATGAAAATTCTTTAAAATAAGATATTTATGATAAGCTGTATAAGAAACTTTAAAAACGTAAATTATTTTATCTAAATATAAATAAATATCAAAACTAATATAAAAAGATAATTAATAAAATATTTCGTTAAATAAATAATATTAAACAATATAAAAGTAATTTCCTAAATACATTAACCTAAAAAATAATGAATATGTATAATATAATAAGGCTTTCTCTTAAGAAAAGAATAGTAAGAATAATAAAAATATTTTTTTTAATATAGTAAATAAAAAAAGAAGGGTTAAAAAATTAAAAAATTAAAAATATATTAAACAATACGGCTAGTTAAGTTTTTAAAAGAGTTTAGAATTGTTTTGATAATATAAATAATGAAACAAAAAATTTAATATAAAAAAAAAATTGATAATAAAATAAATAAATAAATATAAAATAAAATAAAACTAACAATATATATATAATATAATTATTAAAAGCGTTTTTTATTTTTAAAAAAAAATTATGAATAGTAATAGTGTATTCTTAACTAAAAATAATATATTTTAAAAATCAAAAAATGTATAAAGCATTATATAATCAAAAAAATAAAATTTTCAAAAATTACAATAATATTATCAGTCTAAATAAAAATTAAGCCTTTACGAACAATTATAAAAACAACAAATTAAGCAAAAACAACAATATCTTTTATATTCATAAAACTAAAACAATAAAACATTAAACCCTTAACTTATAAAATAAAATTCCTTCAATAATTAACTTATAAAATAAAATTCTTTTAATAATTTTACGGATGTATTAGAAGAAACGAAAACATAAATAAAAACAAAAGAAAAGAAATAAAAAAAAGATTTAAATAATAATGATAAATAAAAAAAAAATATATAAAAGCAATATATACTTAACAAAACTTTTATAAAATTACAAGAAATGTATTTAAAAGCTAAAAATTAATAATAAGGTCTCTAAGGACGAAAATGTTAAATAGACTTTAATAATATTGGAAGTTTAATTTAATTGGGAAATTTAAATGAATAATAATAAATTTCTGATTCAAGCGATAGTTAAGATTAAACTTATGATTTTAATATTTAAAAAGTAAATAAAAAATAAAATATTGATGAAATGGTAGATGCTAAAGATTCTGTTTTTTTAAAAAAAGTAAAGTAAGAAAATTTATTATCAGAAATGAAAGAAAACGAAATTAAAATAGAACGATAACTAAATTAAATAAAAATAAGACATATAAATAATAAAATAAATAAATACCCTTTAATAAAAAAGTAAGATTTCGTTAAATAAATTATTAATTCTACAAGACCAAATATTCAAGAAATATAAAAAGAAATAGAAAAATCTGTTTAGAATGTTTTTAAAAAAGATAAAAAAGATGACATTACATTATCAAAAAAAGATATTTTTAAAGGAAAATATATTGAAGACTCATATTTAAAGAAAATTTATTTATATAATAATTAATTATAATAAAATTAATAATAAAAAAAAATTAAAAGAAATCATTTAGATAAAATGTGGCCCCATTTAGAAAATAAAGGATTGGATAATTCCTTATAATCTTTTACAGAAGTTAGATTAGATAATTATTACCAAAAAAGCATTTTTATTTAAAAAAATATTTAAAATGATAATAATGCTTAAAGATAATTAAAAGGATTACTAAAATTAGAATATATATATAAGTATTTTTTTATTATACATTATAAATAAATAAATAATATATATTTATATTTTTTAATAAAATATATTTAATGCATAGTAAAGCTAATAAATTAACATTAACAAAAATTCGCTAAACATAAAAGAAAGAATTTTGAATTATATATAAACAAAAAAATATATATATTAAAACATTATAAATATAAAGTAAATATATATATATACTTTTATAATATAATAATAATTTAAATTAATTTAATTCTATAAACTTTTAAAAAAATAATATATAAATATCTAAATAACCGAATAAACACATGATATAATAAGCTTAGTTGAAAGTGCTTTAAAAAATACAAAATAATCATCAATTTTAATAAAATTACAAATATTTAAATACATAAACAAATATTTTAATTACTTGAATTAATTAATTAATACTTTGCAAGTATTAAATCAAATTATACAGAATTAAACTGGCAAAAAAACAGTAAGTTAGGTAACAAAAAAATTTCATAAAGATAATGCGTTTTGTTTTTTTTAAGGATTTTAGTATTTTTTAACAATTAAATTGATAGAATAAAATTTTTAAATATAGTAAAATTAAAAATAATAGGCCTTAGTATAATATTTTTATGACTATATATATACCATGCTTTATATAAAGGTAATATTTCTTCTTCTTTGTATATTTTTCTTTTATGCCTTTCAGCCAGTTTTGAATTTAAATTTGTAGATAATTAATTTATAAACAGGTATTGAAATCGTCAAAAGGCACATAAGAAATTAAACATATTATTCGGACATTATATGTAAAAATAAGATTAATAATTTTAAAACAAGTGTTTTGTTCTTTATTTATTTTTTTATTTGCTTTAAATATTTTGTATCTAAATTTTCAAAACAAAAATTATTTCTTTTTTTTTTTTAAGAAATTTATTAATTATATATTAAATATTTTTAAATTATTAAATATTGTTAATATAAAAAAAATGTCTATAGTAAAAATATATATAAGTTTTTATATATATAATAGATAAGTTAATAAAACAACTTTAATAGATAAGAAATGTTTAAGATAATATATAAAAATAAAATAGCAAAATAAAAGAAATTATGAAATAAATAAGAAAAAATAAATACACAGGAAAAAATATATAAAATTTTACTTTTTTTAACGAATTTATATTATAAATAATATTAAGCTTTGCTTTATATCAATATTTTTTAAAAATTTCAAAAAAATATAAAAATCCAAAATCAAAATATACTACAACATTTAGAAAATAAATTTATTTCTTCAACATTATATTTTTTCCAGTTTTCTATTACTATGACTTCTTATATATCTGTTTTAAACTACATTTTATAATTTCGTGCATTTCCCCTTTTTATTTTGTTCCCAAATCCATCTTTTCTATCAATATCATTTAAATTATTTATTTAAATGCTTTATTTTTTATTTAAAGTATTTTTTTCAGGGTTATAAAGTATACTTTTCAAACTTTTAAAACTCTTTTTATCATCCATTTATTATTCTAATTAATTTTATTGCTCTGGGTTTATATTTGCTATTCTATTTGTCATTAAAAATATTATAATAAATAAAATTATTATTTAATACATATTAAAAAAATTTATAAATATAAATAAAAAAAATATATATAATATTTTATTTTTTAAAATAAAAATGTTATATTAATACCTTAAATATTTATTTTTATACATATACTATAAATATTTTTATTTAAAAAAAAAAAAAAAAAGTGATAATAAATAAATATTCATTTCAGAATAAAATATAAACAATATTAAAATAAATTGAAAATTAAATCAAAAAAACAAAATTATTCCATTTCCAATAATCCCAAGTAAAAGTTCTTTTAATACAATAATCATTATATGTAATTTATACAAATTATTAATATTTTTATAAAGCGGCATGATAATCATTATATTCATCATCATATATATGTTTGCAAGGCCCATATCTTAAACTTTTTGAAAAAAAAAAAATAATAAAAAATTAATTAAAAAATAAGATAAAAAAATTTAAACCTTGTATGGCAATTAAAATTTGTATATAGAATAAATTAAAATTTATTCAACATATCTAAATATTCAGGATCTCCTTCTGCCACTTTGCAATAAGAAAAACTCCCAGGATTATAACCACATTAACATTCTGAATATCCTTAAACTTTTCCTTTATCATCTACTAATTCACAATCTAAATCTTATTAGCAAGGCTTTGGCCTTATAATATCTTTAGACTAAAGGCCTTTTTAACATTTATTATCTTTTATATATCCTGAAGCACATGCCTCTATATATTTTTTTTTTAATTTTAATTTAAAATAAAAAAATAAAAAAAAACTCTCATTATCAGCTTCTATTTAATTATCTAAAGAATAATAATACATACATTTTTTTACATTACAAACACAATTATTTTAACAATCTTCATCTTATTGACATTCCTATTAATATTTATGTATATTATTTTTTAAAAAATACATCTATTTTTATATACATACTTCTCCAAATTATAGTTATTTTTTACATTTTTTTAAAAAGCAATATAATCCTGCATCACAATCAATATTTTTAATACAATCTTATCCTTCTTTTTTTCCTATGCATATTCCACCTGAACATTTCTTTGAATTGCATTCTAAATCTTCAGAACATAGCTCATTTGGATAAATTAAATCTGAATCTGGAACTTTTTCACAATATGCTTATTTTGTTTAATCAGTAAAGCTTTATGTATTACACTAAAAACCAAATGGACAAGGCCATAATTCGTAATTTTTATTTTTATCGTCAGTTATTTTTGCACATATTTCTGAATCATATTTAATTATTTGTGAACAGATGTAATGTTTAGCTTTACATTTAGGATTACTTTGTTAATTTGTATTTTAAATTATTAATGATATAAATAATATATTAAATATTTTATTTTTCAATTTATCCATTATTTAAATAATGTTATTTTGTTTAATTTAATAATGTAAAATTTAAATTTAGATTATTATAATTTTTTTTATAATATGATTAATTATTAAGAAAATTATATAAAAATTTGGTTAACATATTTGAGTTTAATGTTTAATTTTTTTTAAAAAAAAAATAATTATTTAAACATTATTTTATAAAATTCTCATCTATATATATTAAGAATAAAAAATAAAATTAATAATATAATAATTATTTATTTAAATAAAATATTTAATAATATAAATATATAATAATATAATATTTATTAAATTTATGTGTTTGTTATTTAAGAATATAAAGATTTTTTTGTTTTTAACAAGAAAAAAAATATAAAAAAATCGAGATAATTATATTTTTAAATTATTTATTAATCAGTTATTAATTTTTAATTATTAAATATAAAAATAAAAATAAAAGTTTAAAGTTATTTATAATATTAAATTATTAAAAAATATAAGAAAAGATATTTTTTATAAATACTCAATAATTATTAATTTAATATTATTTATTTTTAAAAATAAAAAATATAAACAAAAGTTTCATTTTTTTATTTTTAAAAAAAAAAATTTAAATATTAAAAAGAAGAGAAAAAATAAAAATTTATAATATATATTTGCATTATATATATTAAAAAAAAAAAAACAAATAAACGATTCACATTAAAAAAAAAATGAGTGAGTCATAGTTAAATAATAATAATGATAATGAAGAAAAGCCTCCTTAAGATCTTCAATTAGTAGAAGAAGATGAAGCAAAACAAAACGAAGCTCCAAACGAAGAAGCTCTGGCAGTAGTAGATGTAGAATTAGAAGAAGCAGAAGAAGATATTCCTAATGAAGAATTAGAACAATTATAAAATAAGCCTAAGAAGAAGGTAAAGATCCTGCAGAAGTACCAAAAAGACGAAAAATAAAAAAACTTAAAACCCTTGAATAAAATAAAGTAAGTGAAATATAAAGTATTGAAGCAGTATAATCTTTGATTAATTAGGATACAAGTAACAAAAAAAATAATATTATTTTAAATATAAAAATAATATAGAAGAAAAAATTATTTGGATAATGTAAATATTAGAAAAGGAATTAAATATTTTCGACGAAAAATTTTGGAATTAAGAACTTGACGAAAAATGTGGAGAGTTTTTCAATAATACAAGCATAAAGTTTAAAAAAAAAATAATATATATATATATATATATATATATATATATATATATTTTATTTTTAATAAATTATAGAAATATGTTTATTTGGGTTGAAAAAGATGGAATAAAAATTTCATTTTAAGATCCTCCAATACTTTCTTAAGATTCTTATGATTAAGATTTTTAGTTTTTTGTTAAATATTAAAATGATTAAATTACTAAATATGATATTTCTTAAATTGAAGATTTTGTAAGTCATGCTTCTGTAAAACATAATTACATTTAGTCTTTATTAAAATTAATGGATGAAATTTACAATCCTTCTATTTACAGTGATACAACATGGCCTGAAAATGTTAAGAAAGAATTCATTGCTTAATTACATAAAGTATTTAATATTTAAATAAAAAAAATAAAAAAATATTTAGTTTATGGCATCATTAACAGAAGCATCTTAATAAAATGAAGGTTTTACAAAATTATATATTCCAAAAGAAAATTTATCGGATACATAAGCAGTTTCATAAGATAAAGATTTAATCTAAAGATTAGAATCAACATTAATATATTGGTATAGATAAATTAAAGAAATCGTAAATAACTAAGACTCTTAATAAGATTAAGAAAATGCAGGTCCTTTAGACGAAATTACATATTGGCGTCGCAGAAAAGATAATTTATAATTTATTTAAAGATAATTAGAAAATCCTGACTTGTAAAGAATAATATAAATACTTAAATTAGTTGATTCTTCTTATGTTCCTAGTTTTGAGGAATTAACAAAAAACATAAATTCCGGATCTATTGAGAGTGAAAATAACTTAGCATTTTTAAATTCTTTATATGAACCTTGTAAATAATTAGAAATAGCTACTCCAAAAGAAATACCTTCGATTTTGCCTTCTTTATTAAATCGAGTTAGGATGATTTGGGAATTTTCTGAACATTATAATTCATAAGAAAGAATATCTGGTTTATTGCATAAAATATCAAATGAAATAATAAAAAGATGCAAAAAATAAATTAATATATAAGACATGTTAGATGGAGATGTAGAAAAATGCATGTAAGATTTAAGAGATTCTATTGAATGCGGAAGAAAATGGAAAAAAATATACGAAAGAACATCTGAATTAATAAAGAAAAAAAAAAAAGAAAACGCCACTAAAAAAACATGGGATTTCAACCATAATTCAATCTTTGCATAAATGGAAGCTTTTGTATAAAGGTGTACTGAATTAATCGAAATATGTACAGGTTAATTACAATTTGCTGGAAAAGGTTCAAATAATCAAATTCCATAATTTGGAGGATCAAGAGGGCCCGAAATAGAAAGTATATTGGAAGAAATTAAAGAAAGGTTCAAAAAATAATTAGAAAAAATCAGAGGATCTAAACAAGATTTAATTCTAGACGTAAAAGCTTCCAATTGGCATGATCTGTTTAACATGTTCAAGAATGGGATGAAAGACCTCGATGTAATGTACTAAAATATAATTAATTTTGGCTTCGATTAAGTTTCTACAGTTGAATAGGGCGTTGAAATGTTAGAAGCATTCGATTATTTAGCCAAAAGGGAAAACATTAAGGCTGCAATTAAAAAAAAAGCCGGGGAAGTTGTTTAGTTGTTTGTTTCAGAGTTAGATAAATCGAAGTTTGAGTATGATAATATGAAAAAAAACCAAGGACAATTAAATATTCCACTTTAACATGGAAAATATTCTGGGCAGGCAATTTGGGTGAGAGGATAAATACATAGAATTTAAAAAATGAAAGATTCTATAGATAAACTATATTTTATTCCAGATTAATTAAAAAGAAGTGCTTTGGATAAATATGATTAACTTTTTTAGACTTTTAAGCAATTTATAGTGCATTAAAAATTTAAAGAATGGAAAGACGAAAATAAAGACTTAGAGGATGCACCTTTGGGAGCCAAGTTTTTAGATAAATCAGTTCTTATAAGACCTGAGGAAAATATTAATAATAATAATTAAAAAGGAGGGAAGGAAAATGCCAATAAAGCAAAAAATAAAATGGAGCATTTAGAATAAAATTTCGATAGATAAGCTGAAAAATTAATGCATGAAGTAGTGGCTTGGAAAAAGTTAATGCCTTTCGGTATCATAGTCCCGAGTTATGCAGAAGAATTTACCACTACTTAGAGGGAAAATCTGAGGGTTTTGAAAGAATATGTAATGTTAGTGGTTAGGGATTAGAATAAAATCATTGATTATATGGATGATATGGAAAAGAAGCTTTTTAAAGACTATTATAGTCAGACTGAGAAGGTTATTTATCCAGGATTACATAAATTGAAGTGGAGTTCGAAAGGTATATTGGAGATTTTTGTTAAATAATGTAGATAGAGTTGTAATGAGATTTATAACAAGTTGAGAATGTTTAAATAAAATACAGAAAAAATAGACTAGAAATGTCAAGAAATAGCTGGTAGACTGTTAATAAATATTAAAAAGAAAAAAATTATTGAATTGAAAGTTTTCGAGGAAGAATAAGAAAAACACAGAAAAGATATGTAAAATAAAATAAAAGCAGCATTGGAAGAAATAAAGAGAATCTTGTGTGAAACATATGAACCTTTTTTACATAATGGAATTGAAATTTAAAAAGTCTGGTATGACTATGTCAAAATTATAGACTCGAAAATTGAAGATGCTTTAAAAAAAGCTATCAAAAATAGTCTATTAGAACTCCATAAGGTAATAGGAGATGATAAAATACCCGCAATTCCTATTTTTAAGCTTAGTTTGGAAATCGAAAACAATGAAGTGGCTTTCAAACCATCTATTCAATATCTATAATAGATGATTACAGTTACTATGTCTGCTATGAACGAGATTTTTAAAGACTTTAAAAGAATGTAGATAATAATGAGTTCGGAAAGGAGAGAAAGACTTAAAGAATTTCGACTTTTGAAAGAAAAAGAAAATAAAAATAACCCTCTGATGATGTAAAGGAAAGGCGCAGAAGTCCCTACTTAATTCGAAGATGATATTATTAAAGGTTTAGATGATTATTTTACGGCTATATCAGGGGATCATGATGTAAAGAAGTATTCTGAGAAAATTTTGGCTAATTTATGTTCGAGTTGCTCTAAATTAGAAAACGGGTAATTAAGAGATCCTTGGAATTCGAAGTAGTTTTATTGGAAATAGCCTTGTATTAAAGATTAATTTTCGAAATAAATGCTTAAATAAGACGATGATATTACCAATATTAAAGATCATTTGGAAAAATTCGAGTTTGCGGCTACTGAAATTCAATAGAATAATAAAACTATTAATTAATAAGATTGTATTGTTTTGGATAATACGAATATTAAAAATGTTATTGTAGATATACTAATTTAATGGTAAAATGCAGTATTAAAAGCGGTTTAAGAAAAAGCTATTAAAGATTTAAATGATTTACATGCACTTTTTTAAAATAGTGAAGTTCATTTATCTCCTACTCCTTTAGATATTCATTAATTGAAGAAAAATATGGAATCTTTATCAAAACTTAAAAAAGAGAAACCTGAATATGAAAAAAGATTAAAACCTATAGAAGATAAGTTTAAGCTATTAGAAGATTCATAAATAAGTCTAAAGGAGGAAGAAAATATTAAAAAAATGAACCTAAGAGATGCTTGGCAGGGATTCTAGAATATGCTGGAAAGAATCGAAGTGAGAAATTAAAAAGTTTATAACGATTTATATTTGGAGACTTGTAAAAACTTAGATGACTTTAGAAAAGATACTCAAGATAATAAAATTTATTTCACAGCAAATGCGCCTTTTACAGTCACAAATACTTCTAATGAAAAAGCGTTTTAAATGTTAAATGAATATAAAGATATTGTAAAAGCACTTAGAAGTAGGGAAAAAGATATGAAATTCGCTTTTGAGTTATTCAATATTAGCTACGATTAGTGCGAAGAGTTAGATTATGTTGAAAAAGAAATCGAAAATTTAGAAAAAGTATGGAAATTAAAAGATGATTGGGATAGGGAATGGGATTAAGTTAAATCTATGAAATTTAAAGATTTTGAATATGAAAGATTAGATGATTTAGCTGATGATTATTAATTATTAATAAATGAATATCCTAAAGAAATGAAAAGATGGGAAGTAGTAAATAATTTGAGAAATACAATCGAGTCTTTTAGACAAACTTTACCACTTATAAAAATGTTAGGAGATAGATCTATGAGAATTAGACATTGGGAAAAATTACAAAAACTACTAGGCTAGTTATTAGATTATGATTCCGAATAATTTAATCTTTAAGAGATTTTTAGAATAGGACTTCTTTCTTAAAAAGAAGCAGTAGTTGATGTTTGCGAAGTTGCACGAGAAGAATACAAAATTGAATTTGCATTATAAACAATTAGCGAAAAATGGGAAGTTTTAGAAATTTAAATGGAAGAACATAAAAAAGGATGCTATAAAATAAAAAAAGCAGACGAAATATATAATATATTGGAAGATCATATGGGTAAACTTTCGGCTTAAAAAACAACTGCTTATTATGATTCTTTTAAAACTGATATTGAATAATGGGAAAATGCTTTATAAAATATTATTGAAACATTAGATGCTTTACTTTAAGTTTAAAGACAATGGATATATTTGGAAAGTATTTTCGCATCATAATAGAATGAATAAGATAAATAATTAGTAGGAGATATTGCTAAATTCTAGAAAATAGAAAAATAACTCCAAAATTACATGAATAACATTTTCATTAGCAAAAATGCCAAAAATGCTCTTAGTCAGGAAGGATTCCTTCAAGAACTTATAATAATGAGCAAACACTTAGACGAGAGCCAAAAAATCCTTTTCTCTTTACTAGAGAAGAACAGAAAAGAATTCCCTAGATTTTACTTTTTGTCTAATGACGATCTTTTCGAAATTCTTGGAAATTCAAAAGATCCTTCTAAAGTAAATAAACACATAAAAAAATGTTTCGAAGGTATCAAAACGTTATCTTTTACTTAAACCTTTGTCGCAAGCGCAAAAGGAAGACCATAAGAAGCTTTCGAAGTAACCCAAATGATATCTCCAGATTAGGAATCTGTGAAATTATAATAATCTGTCAAATGCGAATATGGGGTTGAGAAGTGGCTCAAATAAGTAGAAATAAGAATGGTCGATACACTCAAAAGAGAACTCCTAAAAACATATTAAGGAATAAGAAAACGAGAAGCAATGCGTTGGGTTGAGAAATGGATACCTTCATGGCCTGGTCAATTATTAATTGTAGCTTCTTAACTTTATTGGACATCAGATTGTGCAAATGTACTATAATAAATAGGTAATACAGACAAAACAGACAAAAGCAAAGCTTGGAAATCTGTTAAAGAAGAAAAAAATCACTTTTTAAATGAATTAACTCGCCAAGTAAGAAAACCAGGAAGTGCTACTGACCGAAATAAACTAATAGCTTTAATTACTATAGAGGTTCATGCTAAAGATATAATAGAGTAATTAATGAAAACTTGCTTTAATGAAAATTAATTTGATTGGTTGAAATAATTAAGGTATTGTGCGACTATATAAGGAGATTTAATGGAAGTTGATATTAAATAAACTAATACTAAATTCCCTTATGGGTATGAATATTAAGGTAATAATGGAAGATTGGTTATTACTGCGCTTACTGATAGATGTTATATGACCTTAACTACGGCTATGAAATTAAATAAAGGTGGAGCACCTTAAGGACCTGCGGGTACTGGAAAAACAGAAACAGTGAAAGATTTGGGAAAAGGAATGGCTAAATTTGTACTTGTTTTTAATTGTTCAGATGGTTTAGATTATAAATCGATTGGTAGAATGTTCTCTGGGCTCATCTAGACAGGAGGGTGGGGTTGTTTTGATGAATTTAATAGAATTGAAGTAGAAGTACTTTCCGTTGTGGCTTAATAGATGCATTCTATTATGAATGCTTTGAGAAAATTAGGTGAACATAGAGAACTTAATACTTTAGATTTCGAAGACGATGTCATATAAATAAACGAACAAATGGCCATTTTTATCACTATGAATCCCGGATATGCCGGAAGATCAGAATTACCTGATAATCTAAAAAGTCTTTTTAGACCAATTTCTATGATGGTACCGGAAACTACTATTATTTGTGAAATTATGCTTTAATCAGAAGGATTTAAAAACGGGAGACCATTATCTATAAAAATGGTCACTTTATATAATTTGATGACTTAGTAATTATCTAAATAAGACCATTATGATTTCGGTTTAAGAGCCATTAAATCAGTTTTGAATTGCGCAGGGTAGATTAGGAGAGAAAAAGGGGCAGAAACTGGATATTAAGGAGCCTAATAAGGAGGTAGGGAAAAAGATAAAGAAAACGAATAAGAAGAAAATAATTAAGAATAAATGATACTAATGAAGGCTATTAGAGATATGAATATGCCTAAGTTTGTTTAAGAAGATGTTTTTTTATTTAATGCTTTATTTAATGATCTTTTTCCAAATATAGATTTACCGGAATCTGAAAGCTTATAACTAGTAGAGGCTATTGAAAACGAGATGAAAAACGACAAATTAATTCCTAAACCAGAAATGATCACTAAGTGTATTTAATTATACGACTCTAAAAATACCAGACATGGCAATATGCTTGTCGGCAAAAGTCTTACAGGAAAATCTACTTGTTGGAAAATTTTACAAAAAGCCCTAACTGTATTAAGTAAGCAAGAAAATAATAATGATAAATATCATGCAGTACGTACAGAAGTTTTAAATCCAAAAACAGTTTCCTTAAATGAACTTTTCGGATTTGTAGATAGATCTACATTAGAATGGAATGAGGGTGTCTTATCATCTATGATGTCCAGATTATGTAAAGATGAATCTTTGGATTAAAGATGGATGATTTTAGATGGACCAGTTGATACTTTATGGATAGAATCAATGAATACAGTACTAGATGATAATAAAGTACTTACTCTTTTAAATGGTGATAGAATCTCGTTACCTCCATAAGTTGGTTTGATATTCGAAGTAGAAGATCTTTCAGTTGCTTCCCCTGCTACAGTATCTAGAGCTGGTATGATTTATATAGATTAGAATGATTTAGGATATAGACCTTTTATAGAAGCTTGGATAAAGAAAATATCTGATTTAGATGTATAGGATTTCTTTTTTGATTTAATAGATAAATGGATTATTAAATTATTCAAAGTCCGCCAAAATTGTAAAGAATTAGTCAAATGTACTGACATAAATATCGTTGTGGCCTTAACAAGGTTAATGGACTCTTTCTTTACAACCGAAAAAAGTACTATTGGAATAGATTTACCTAATAAAAGTGAAATTTATTATGCTCTATTGGAAAAATGGTTCACTTTTGCCCTCATATGGTCTTTCGGGGCTACTGTAGATGAGGAAGGTTAAAAATATATTGACTATTAAATGAGAGATATCGAAAGTATATTCCCTTCATCGAATACTGTGTATGATTATTACATTAATGTGGACAAAAACGAATGGTCTTCTTGGGAAGAAAAAATCAATGCAAACGCTTGGAAACCAGCTTTAGGTATTCCTTATCATAAAATGCTTGTACCGACTGTAGATAGTGCCAGAAGTAGATTTATAATATAGACTTTGCTCAAAAATAAGGTGAATACATTAATTGTAGGAAACACTGGAACTGGAAAAACTGCTCTTATAAATGGGATTTTATCCGACTTAGATGAATCTTAATATACTTCTATGAATATAGTTTTTTCAGCATAAACTAATTCTTTGAAAACTTAAGATATGATAGAATCGAAATTAGTTAGAAGGACGAAATATAAAATGATACCTGATTCTAAAAAGATGGTCATTTTTGTCGACGATCTTAATATGCCGAGAAAAGACACTTTTGGAAGTTAACCCCCTTTAGAGTTATTTAGATAATGGATGGATTATGGAGGCTGGTTTGATAGATAATCTAGAGATTTATTTAAACAAATCTTTGATATTTAATTAATTACAGCTATGGGACCTCCTGGGGGTGGTAGAGCTTAAATATCAAACAGATTTTAAGGAAAATTCAATTTAATAGCGTTTACTTTCCCTACTGATAATTAAGTAAGGAGAATCTTCTAGTCTATTCTTAATTATAAATTTTCTGAATTCTAAGAAGAAATTAAACTTTTATCTGAAAGTATAGCCTAAGCAACTCTTAATTTATTCAAAACTGTCTCCGAAAATTTCCTTCCTACTCCGAAAAAATCCCATTATGTATTTAATTTGAGAGATATATCAAAAGTTATATAAGGAGTTTATTTATAAGACAAATTTTATTGCGATTCCAAAATGACAATATACCGTTTATGGGTGCATGAATGTTTGAGAGTTTTCCATGATAGATTGATTTCTTTCGAAGACCGTGCTTAATTAAAAAAACTTATTTCAGATTAACTTGAAGCTACTTTACAGACAAATATGAAAGAATGTACTAATGATGAAGAAGATACTATATTTGTAGATTTCATGGAAGAATCTAATAACGAAAAAAAAATTTATATGGAAATTCCCCAAAAGGAAAGATTAGAATTAAGAATCTTTGTAGAAAAAAAACTCGAAGACTACAATGCTAACTAAAGAACTCCTATGCCTATAGTTTTATTCAATGAAGCTATTTCCTATGTATGTAAAATCCATAGAATCATTAAATTAGGAAAAGGGCACGGAATGCTTGTAGGAGAAGGAGGTTCTGGGAGACATTCTTTAACTAGATTAGCAGCATATATTGCTTAATATTCTTTATGGTAAATTGAAGTTTCCAGAAATTACAGAATGAAAGAATTCCGAGACGACATTAAAAGATGGGATGAAGAAGCCGGTTTTAAGAACAAAAGTGGGGTTTTCTTATTTAGTGATAATTAAATTGTAAACGAAGGTTTTATAGAAGACATAAATAATATTCTCAGTGTAGGTGAAGTTCCTAATTTATTCTCTTAAAAAGACGACTATCCTTAAATAAAAGAAAAAATGAAAAAACAATATATTAACCATTATAAACTTGACAAAGATGCAAGAATTCCAGATGAAGAAATCATCGACTTTTTCTTCACTAGAGTTTAAAATAATTTCCATTTAATGCTCTGTATGTCCAAAACAGGTGATTCCTTAAGAAATTACACCAGAATGTACCCTGGATTAGTAAATAATACTACTATTATATGGTTTATGACTTGGCCTTCTGAAGCTTTATTGGAAGTAGCAAATAAATACCTAAAACCATTAAAGTTAGAAGATAAAATCAAAGAAACACCTATTCCTACTGCCGTTCCTTAAAAGTCAATTAACTAACTTGCTCCTTAATAAGAAAAATAATAATAAACAAATACAAATAATTAAAAGGCTGAGAAAAAAGACCCTGCTCAAATAAAAAGAGAAGAAGAAGAAGCCCTTCTTTTACAATAAGAAGAAGAAAGACGTGAAAATCTAAGAACTGCAATTTCTGCATTTTTCTCTAATGCGCATATAACAGTGCTTTAAATGTCCGAAGATATGTTTAATAAACTAAAAAGAATGTACTATGTAACCCCCACTAATTATATAGAACTCGTAAAGGGTTATGTAGAACTTTTAGGTGCTAAATAACTCGAATATGGGAACGAAATCACTAAATTACGTCTCGGTTTGAAAAAACTAGATGAGGCAGCTGAAAGTTCTGAAGTTTTGAAGCAATAATTACAAATATCGTAAATAAATTAATAAAAAAGTCAAAAAGAAGTGGAAGATTTAATGATTAGAATAGAAGGTGAATCACGCGATGTGAATGAAAAAAGTAAATTTGTAGAATAAAAAACTGCCATAGTAGAAAAAGAGAAAGGCGAAATTATGCGAATCCAAGCCGATGCAGAGGAGGATCTCCAAAAAGCAATGCCTGCATTAAGAATGGCTGAAGAAGGTTTAGAAAATTTAAATAAAAACAAACTTGCTGAAATAAAATCATTCAATAAACCACCAGAAGGTATAGGTGAAGTTTTATAAGCAATCATGATTATTTTGGGAAAAGATCCTTCCTGGGCTAGTGCAAAAAAAGAACTTGCAGATCCTCGTTTTTTAGAAAGACTAAGAGATGTAGATAAAGACCATATATCTTAAAAAACACTTCTTAAAATAGAAAAATTGACACATGATCCCAAAATGAGTATAAGTATTATTGATTAGAAGTCCGAAGCAGGAGGCTCTATGTGGAGATGGGTTTTAGCAATGGAAATGTACGCAAAATCATTTAAAGATATAGAACCTAAAAGGGCCAAAGTAAATTAACTGACAGAAAGATTAGCTAAATCAGAAGAAGAACTGAAGAATTTACAAGAAAATCTCTCAAAATTAAAAGAGAAAATTACTACTTTAGAAAAATAATTAGAACAAGCCAAAACGGATAAATAATATTTAGAAGAATAAAATAAAATACTCCTCGATAAACAAGAAAGAGCAGAAAAATTAATTTCCGGTTTAGAAGGTACAAAAGAAGGATGGAAGGAACGTAAATAAGTCCTTGAATAGAAATTCGAATTTTTAATAGGGGATTCTTTGATGTCTGCAGCTTTTATGTCATATGCAGGACCTTTCCCGTCCGAATATAGAAGAGATTTTGTCAAAGATGCCTTACTTGGATAAGTTAAATAGCTCAAAATTGCACACTCAAGAGATTACAATTTCCCTGATTTCCTTGTAAAACCGATAACGTTTTTAAACTGGAATTTCAAAGGTTTACCTGACGATTAATTTTCCAGAGAAAATGCAGTTTTGGTTACTAAAAGCAGCAGATTTGCGCTTATGATAGACCCTTAAATGTAAGCTTTGACTTGGATTAAAAACACTGAGAGAGATATTAACAAGGAAAAATTAAAAATAATAGATCCTTAAGAAGATAACTACATTAGTACTCTCGAAACTTCAATAGTATAAGGAAACGTAGTCATTTTGCAAAATTTAGATGAAGAAATAGACCCTTCTTTGGAACCTTTCCTTAATAAATCAATAAAAAGACATGCCACAGGAGGTTTAGTTTTAGTACTTGGTGCAGACAAAGAAATTAAATATAATCCTGATTTCAGATTTTATTTAACAACGAAGCTTTCTAATCCAAGATACAAAGCCGAAGTTTCGACTAGAGTTACTTTAGTAAACTTCGCAGTAAAAGAAGAAGGTCTTTAAGATTAATTGATATCTGTAGTAATTTAAAAAATGGAGGCCAGTTTAGAAAGACAAAAAAATGAACTAGTACGTAAAAAAGCAGATAACGAAATAAAACTTAAAGACTTGGATGATAGAATTCTTAAAATGCTCCAAGAAACAAAAGGATAATTAATTGACGATCTTGATTTAATTAAGGCACTCTAAGTAGCTAAAGAAACTGAAGAAGGTAAAAAAAATATATAAATTAATAAATAAATAAACAAATAAACAAATAAATAAACTAATAAATATATAAATAAATGAACAAAAAAATAAATATAAATAAATATATATATAGATGTAAGACATTAAATAGAAGCTGGAGCTGCTTAAATGACCAAAACTATGAATTTAAGAAAGCACTATGTAGGCTTAGCTAGTATTTCTTCGAAATTATTTTTCGTCATAAACGACTTCTCATTAATTAATAATATGTATTAATTTTCATTAGAATCATACATAAGTCTCTTCTAACGTACAATCGAATTTCAAACAAGTCGCTAATAAGCCGTAAACGACTCTTTACAAGATAAACTAAAAGCAATATCCTTAAGACATCAAGAAGAAATCTATAAATACGCCTGTCGAGGTCTCTTTGAATGTGATAAATTACTTTTATCAATTTAAATGGCAGTTAAACTTTCCGGAAATATCGATGAAAGTGAATTCAACTTTTTCTTAAGAGGCAGTGAAGTTTATTATGATAAAAAAGCCCAACCACCTAATCCTAATGACTGGATTTCTCAATCATCATGGGATACAATTTGCGACTTGGACAAAATGCCCAATTTCACCGGAATAATAGGTGCCTTTACACATAATTCGAAAGAATGGAAACGCTGGTATATGTCCTCTAACCCCGAAACTGATCCTTTACCTGGAGAATGGGAAAATAAATGCGACCCTTTAAGGAAAATGATTATTGTTAAAACTATTAGACCCGATCGAGTTATATTCAGTGCTCAACTTTTCGTAAATGAAAAGCTTTCTCCTTTATATACTACTGCTCCCTCATTCACATTCGAAACAGTATTTTTAGACAGTACAAAATACACTCCTGTAATATTTATATTATCCCCCGGTGTAGATCCATTTAGTTAACTTCAACAATTCGCAGATTTAAAAGGAGCTACATTACATCCAGTTTCCTTAGGTCAAGGATAAGCTAAAAAAGCCAGAGAAAAAGTACTTGAAGGATGTCGAAACGGATATTGGCTTTATTTAGCTAATTGTCATTTATCATTAAGTTTTTTGAAAGAACTTGAAAAAATAATTGAAAATCTCGAATAATCTAAGAATGATATTCACGACAATTTCCGTTTATGGTTAAGTTCTTCTCCTCATCCGAAATTCCCCATTTCCATTTTATAAAAATGCGTTAAAGTAACTACTGAACCATCAAAAGGTATAAAATCCAATATGTTGCGTTTATATCATAATATGCCTGCTGACAAATACTAATAACCGAAACCTAATAATAAAGGTTATTATAAAAAGCTTCTTTTCTCTCTTTGTTGGTTCCATTCGATTATTATTGAAAGAAAAAGGTTCAAATAATTAGGTTGGAATGTTCTTTACGATTTTAATGATTCAGATTGGGAAACGGCAGATAATATACTCTAGATGTATATCGATTTATAGGGATAAGTAGACAAATAAGCTTAATAAAGTTAATAATAATAATAAGGAAATAGCGAATAGGTTGTCTAAAATAAATCACCTCCATGGGATGCTATCAAATTTTTAATTGCAGAAGTTACATATGGAGGTAGAGTTACAGATGAATGGGATAGAAGATTATTAAATGTATATGCTCAATAATACTATAATGACTCTGTTTTATTTGAAGAAAGACATAAACTAGACAATTTCTAATAATAATATTACATTCCAGAAGAACTAAACGCAAAAGACCTCAAAAACATTGAAAAAACAGGGAATGAAAACAATTACTATATAGCTAAGATAGAAGAATTTCCTGTTATGGAAATACCAGAAACTTTCGGACAACATATAAATGCTGAAATATCATCTTAAATAATTCAATCTAATTTACTTATAGACTCCATTATGTCGCTTTCTCCATAAAATGTTTTCGCTAAAGGAATTTCTAAAGAAGTTAAAGTAACATAAATAATAAAAGAGTTATCGGAAAAAATTCCCGAATAAATCGACTTAGAGGAAGTTAAAAGAAACAGTAGTTCATATGATGAAGGAAATCCTTTAAGAGTAGTCTTACTTTAAGAGATAGATAGATATAATAAACTACTTATATATGTAAAAAATTCACTTGATAATCTAGATAAAGGTATTTAAGGTATCTAATTAATTTCTGAAGAATTAGAAACTATTATGGATAGTCTTTATGAAGGAAAAGTACCTTTTTCATGGAAATATTGTTATTATTCCTTAAAGCCATTAAATTCTTGGGTTGATGATCTTATAAGAAGAATCGAATAACTTAAAATTTGGGGAGAAAAAAATTAATAACCTAATGTTTTCTGGATTTCAGGTTTTTCTTTCCCTACAGGTTTTACTACTGCATTACTTTAATAAGCTGCCAGAAAATTAAGAGTTCCTATTGATTAATTTGGATGGGAATTCAGGTATTTTTATTTTATTTTAATTAATTTTAAATATATTTTTTAGTTTCCTGCCAAAAGATACGCATGTAAGTGCTGCTCCTAAAGAAGGTGCTTATATTGATGGATTATATCTAGAAGGTGCTAGATGGGATTCTGATAAAAATTATATTATAGATGCAGAACCAATGAAATTACATGATTAAATGCCTATAATTTTATTCAAACCAGTATATTTTGAAGGAAAATAAAAATAGAAAAAAGGTGAATCTAAGTATGCTTGTCCTACTTATATTTATCCAATAAGAACAGGTAAATATATATATATATATATATATATATATTTATATATATATATAATATATATTTTTTTATATATATTTTTAGGTTACAGAGAAAAGCCCTCTTATATGTTCACTGTTATGTTACCTATTAAACCTAATCCTTCTGCTGTTTCTACTTCTGATTAAGATTTCTGGGTTAAAAGAGGTACTGCTTTACTTATGTCACTTGCTGATTGATAAACAATAATATCAATTTAATTTCTTTTTCAAAAATAAAAAACAGATAAGAAAAATATCTTTTATTTATTCACTTAAATAAATAAAGATGATTTTCTTTTTTATATAAATAATATCAAAAAATATATTATTTAAAATGGATAATTATATTTGTTTATAGTTAAAAAATCTTATAAAAACATAAATATTTTTTCATTTAAATAAACATATATTTCTTTTACTTTTTATTTTTTCTCTGATTTTTTTTATATACTCAATCATAAATAAAAGAAATTTATTCTTTTTGATTTATCTTTTAATTAATTAATTAAGTTTAAAAAAAAATGTTAAAGCAAAAATAAAATAACTTTATTTCAAACTAAAAAATTATATTTTAAACATACATATTATTTTTCTACTTTTATAAAAAAAAAATAACAAAAAAAATAACTTCAAATAAAATATACATAAAAAGCTAATATATTTTTTATAAAATCTCAAAATATAAATATTTTATAAAACAAAAAATGAAAATTAATTACGTATAAATAAAGCCGATCTCCCCACAATAATAAATAATAAATTATTCCTCTCCACAATTATCTTCCCGACTTCCCATAAGGCTAAACACTGTTCATCCAATTTCAACATCTCGTGCAATTCCTACATTTCATTCTCCCTAAAACTATTTATATAACTCAAAAATTTAGTTCCCAGTAACCCCTACAATAAATAACTCATAAATAATAAATTAACAAGCTATGCAGTAAAGAATAGTAAAAATAACCCCAAACAATCTTTATCTTCCTTAATAATAATGCATTAATTAACATGAAAAAACACAAATGCCTGTAGTCCATAATAAAGCATAAAGCGTGAATATAGAATACTCATCTTCTAAAAAAGAGAACCAGACCAAAAACAATATCTTATGTAATCAATTTTAAAATAAAATGCTATCTCCTTAGGCATAGAAACTTTATTAATTAGCCCAACAATTAAATTACTACAAAAGGGAAGAAGAAGAATAATAAGCGAAAAACACTTTAAGAATATAAAATCAAGAAGTGCAAGAATAAAAAAATAGGAAGTTAATTTTAAATTAAAATCTTTAAACATTCAAAACATATTCTTCTCCTAAAAAAAGTATTATAAATAATTAATTTTAATAGGAGAATTGTTATTATTCTCCTTTAAAAAGCGAAGGTATTCAATATTTTTCGAATTTTAACTAAAAAAAAATACCTTCTAAAGTAAGTTTTTACGAAAATAAATAATATAAAAATAACTTTCCAAAATAAATAAATACACAGAACACAAGCTTCTATTTAGAAAATAAAATCAATGAATAACAAGATTATATTAACTAATTTAAAGATAACATTAAAAAATTCCAAGAAAAACTTGAAAATTAAAAAGAAATTTTAAATTAACTTAAATAACCAAGCAAATCTAAATTTTAAATTAATAATACCGGAAATTCTTATTTATATAATCCTTCTACTTTATTAAGTACAAATAATATTTATAATAATAATGAAAATAATAGTTCTTATAATATAAGTTTATTAAATGATAAAAGTTATAAAGATGGTTTTAAGAAAAATAATACAAGTAATTTATAGCCTGATTATTTAAATACTAATAATAATAATGATAGTATTATATCTAATGATAATATAAGTTACAAAGATAATGATATAAACATCACAAATACAACTAATTACTAAAATATTATATCAGTTAATAATTATTTAAATAAAGGCAATAATTTTTTGAAAAAAGAAAATGAATTTATGGATAAAGGTAATAATTATTTAAACTAAAATAATGATTATTAAAACTAAAATAACGATTATTTAAATAAAGTTAATGATTATTTAAACTAAAATAATGATTAATTAAATAAAGATAGCAATTATTTAAACAAAGACTATTTGAATAAAGAAAATGATTATTTAAATAAGGCTAATGAAAATTACAATAAAACAGATAACTATACAAATGAAGATGATAATAATTATTTAAATTAAGATTACAATAATTATTTGAATTAAGATGATAACTATTTCAGTACAAATAATAAGGATATTTCCAATAAAAATAGTTTATTAAATAAAAACAATTAATTCAATATTAATATTATTAATACAAAAAATGATAATCTTTAGAATTTTAGTAATAATTAATATAATAATAAAAAATAGTAAAATATATATGAAAAAGAAAACCTTGAAAAAGATAAATTTTATCAAAATAATCATACGAGTACATATACTCAAGATAACAACAATTAT